GGTTTGACTGTCAATTTCTGTTAACACAAATGCGAAATTTCAACTTATTATTTGTGATGATTTCGCTGAGTTTTTAATTATTAGAGATATGAAATAGTTTGGCATTGTATTCTAATCCAGACTCATTGATAGTCTTGTAGATACTGCGCTGTGACAATTTCCATGTCTTGTACGCTCATCTTAGAGATGTCGTATAGTACAGCGAGACAGCTGTGCAGTCCTGCCTGGTTTTCAGCAATCTCTCAACTGGTATCAGTCTATTTTCAATATCGCTCTCAGAGTTATCCTTCCAGGCTAACCAAAGTGGATGACAGCAATAAAACACTGATTGACATTTATGAAACTGGATTGTTAGGTGACATGAATCGGTTTTCAAAGGAGTAAAGTGTTCACCGTTGTCAGATGAATCACTATATTGTTTATTCGTCATTTCTCAAACTGTGACCAAAACTATACTCATTATTCAAGAGTTTCTTATTTCACCGTGTTACAAACGCTGGTACAAACTGCTAAACATTTGAACTTGTTAGTCATGAAGTGTCACTGGTATGAATTTACTAACGGTCAGTGATTTTATTCGATCCACCGACAGCGAACATTCATATTCCTTCTCCCCATTCGACTAAGCTCTATGTATCCATCCTGCAGCTAGTGACTATTTTGTTGCCTGCATGCCTAGTCATTTGTATCCACAGTGAGCGATAAGTCATGTACGGCTACAACCGGATTTAAAAAAGGAAGGTTAGTGGATTTTTGAAAGTGAATGCTTTCGATATATGCCGCTATCTGTTAGCGTGCATACTGTTCACAGACGAAGAGATTTTATGTTGGGATGCAGTGAATGTTTATACTCACCGCTTCGTATTTCCTCTCAATCATACGATGTTATTACACAAATCACGAAAATACTGAAGTGGATGAATTGAACTAGAAGATACTGTCGCAGTTCTCGGATTTCTTTCCTGTGGTGGATTAACACCGAGCAAGGGAAACAAATCTACCAGAAGTCATCATGTCTTACGTCATCGTATCCTGCAGTGACAGCGTGCTCGATCAAGAGTTAAGCAGCATAAGCTATGCATTTCCTGTTTACAGTAAACACTGACAAAGTAAATAAGATATGAGGCCGCAACAGGAAGGTAGTCCTTCATAAGGCTAGTAGCTGATAGATGATAACACACTGGTGAAGACAACAACCTAAATTTTGCATCGCGACGAATCTGTTCATTATGAAATATATCAGTCAATGTGTTCTATGATGGGACAGAGGTATTGTCTATGCTACCATTTGCTTCTTGACACGTGCGTAGGTAATCTGTGTCTTCTACTATTATGAATGTCGATGAATCTGAACATCGGTGAGAACTTATTAGTGAATGGAATTTGGCACCGGCTATTTTAGTTGGAGATGCTATCTGACATCATCCCAACTACTTTTATCATAATGAGGATTGTGAAACAAGAGAATATGGCTTGCACATGTATGTTGGTCTGTCTACCACCAGACACTTTATCGAGGAAGTCATCTAGGGTTACAGATGATACGAATCACTTTTTGTTTCTGAATTATTCGGCTTTTATCACTACTGCATTTTTGTAATGCCCTGGAGACAGCATGTGCTGATATACGTGTACATGTAGATCAAGCCAATCGAACTGTTTTTTTGTCAACAAGCGGCGAATCGGGTAGTAAGTGAGTAAACGATATTTCCTACTTTTCATTCAAGCTAGTCACATGGTGTATTCAGTCAGTTACAGATGTGTTAGACCGTGGCATAATTATCAATAACTATTGTTGTAAGATCGAAACAGGTTGGCTTCAGGAAAAACAAATCATGTATGGATCAAAATGCAAGGCTATGCTACCCAACATCGTAGAACAGAATATAGAATGGCAATTAACACTCTACCTCAACTTCCTCGATATTGAAAAGGCCTTCGACAGAGTCGACCAAGAAGTAGTTTATTAGCTGCTTCAACACTACAGTTTCAGTGCCGCAAAACTTTATCCACCTCATTCAATAGCAGCTATATGAGGATGCTACGTAACAACTGGTTCACAACTGAAGGATCAGTGATGCCTCTGAAGTGAAGTGAAGATAGGAGTAAGACAAGGTTGCCGCCTACTATCATCATCCACCATCCTCATTGTGGTCGACTAAAATGGACTCAAATAGATCATGCAACAAACAACTCTGAGGAGCAAGAAGATGGGCATACGCTAACTGACTGATGAAAAGACCCTAGAAGAAGATTTGCATTTCGCCACCAATGATGATTTATGTCTAATGCCTTGTAGCACAAACTCGAAGATATACAGACGAAAACCAACAAGTTGGCAGAAGAAGCGAGGCCGAGCAGCTAAGGAAGACAGGTGAACGTAGAAAAGATAGAAGTGAAGAAGACACCCAACCAACAAGAAGAACAACAATAACAGGAAACATCAATCACCATGAACGGAAGAAACCTAAAGGAAGTTGTCTCTTTCACCCACCCACATATCTACCTAGACAGCATTGTTTCAACTACAGGAGACGGCGGTACACATGAAGATGTCAAAGTCAGGATAAGAAGGACAACAAGATGGGCCACATTTCATTCATCTGAAATAATCAGTGTGGAGATCAACCACACTGAGTATAAACCATGAACAAGATGAGGATTTTCAACACTAATGTCAGTCAAGTCAGTCAGTGCTTCCATGTGATGGTTGAGAGACTTGACACGTCTCGAAAAGCATTTCAAACAAAATACACACATACATCAACAAATGCCACCTTCGCTCACTCTACACTGAAGATTGGTCAGATGGATGACCACAATAATAAGGATGAGCAAGAATGAAGTGTGGTTGGCCCCACAACAAAACAACCAACAAATATGCAGAAGAATAGAGTGGATATGGATTGGATTGAGTTGGATATGGACTGAGAAGCCAGACCATTTGGGGACATCACGTGTCAGGTGAGGTGAAGTGAGGTGAGGCGAGGCCTGGACAGGTGAGGCCAGTTCAGGTCGTCGAGTGTAAGCGAAATGGGAAATGACGAGTTGTGCATTTGAGGCGAGGATGACATGGATGATATTGTGTGAGGAAGAAATGAAAGTTTGTAGAGAGTTGTGGAGCGAGGTTTGGAGGACCTTATAGAAGAGAGTGAAATGGCGATGTGCTCCTGAAGCAGTATGTTCTACTAGGAACCCAAGGGACAAATAGTGATAATAATAATAACTATTGTAAAGCGGAGGAATCTGTGAAGAATAGCATCGTTTATGTAACATTCTCAGACCGCTTTTACTTGCAAGTGTTTTAGGTTTTTTCCGAATAATTGTCGGAGTATTTTCGTAATCTTCCGTTTTACTCGTTTGTCGTTCAGTTTCAGGCTTTCGGCTGTTCTATATAGCTTCATTCATGTCGGTTTAGGGGGTGAGAATACATGATGACGTAGTATGAAAATATTATTACGATGCTCTCTTCTTTAAGTAAACTGGACACAACTATTTCTTCGTTTATTCTGTTTTGAAGCTGGTATTCTTCTCAGATTGACATCGTTTGTAGAACTATTAAAAATCTGAGAGTACTGGACAGCTGTTTTGTTCTAGTATGGGACGCCTCAACAATACACACATATGGCCCCGTTAGGTCCTACAAAGGACCTTCAAGTTTATGAGTAAGTTAACACTGAATCATATTTCCTACTTCTGTCATTTCATAATATACCAGGATCTCCATCCAATGCCATCGTTAAGTAATTGTACTCACGTTTGACTTGTATGGACAAACTGATCACACACAACTTCTCGTTCGAATCTCATTAATGATGAATACCAACTTGAAATCAGTGCATTAATCTCCACAGATCATCAAACTGAGTTAATAAATTGTATTGATATTGTATTCTATCAGTTGTCTTTTAAGTTCACTAGAAGCCTATGGTGAGTTGGACTAAAAATGCACCATATTTCAGCTTAATGAAAATTCCACTCATCATTTCTTTATTCTTTCACTAAGAAGCGTTTCGAGATTCCTCTTCACATTTCAGAAATCTGTGGATTCTTCACAGTATGGCTATCACTGCTTGTTATTTCTTTTAGTGGTTAGTTTAAACTATGTTTATCAGTTGATGAACTTTAACTAGAAGGAAATTTAACATCATGGATTCTGTTTCTTACCAGTATTCAGACAAATATAAGAATGAAATCATGGGCTAGATTGTGTTATTTGCTCGGAATCTCATCGATCTATAGTAGTCAACCGATTCAATTCAGTTAAATCTCAGCAAGATTAACATCATATCCAATTGATGAATCCAAAATATAACGAAACCTGCATCTTTCCTTCTACTATCCATCATTAGTATGAATTTCAACTGTCTACACATCCCATCCCACCGCAAACTACTCTTTCAAAGTAAAGATAGAAAACTTAGGATACTTTTGAATGGAGGTTAATTGTTTCCAGTAAAAATCTTGTTCTAAAAAAGAGATTGGGTATAGAGTTGACTTTTATAGAATTGGGTTTAGTTCCTGTTGCTTTGCGAAACAAAACTTTCATTGATCTTATTTTTCTGCCTGCTTTACTTCATGTTGGCTTTTGTTGTTCCATTTTGTTTTATTTTCTTCAATAGTTTGTATACAAAAGAGACTAAGAGTTATTCTTGTGTCCAATTTATACTGTCGATAAGTTCATCACTTTCTCTTGTTTCAATGATAATTTGTTATTAGAAAAATAGTGACCAGTTGAGTCGGGTGTGAAATAGTGTTTCTATGATATTGTGTATGTGTATATGCTTGTGTATTTATGTTTGAAAAATAGTTCGCGGGGTAAAGGCATCATAGCATACAGTAAAGACATATCTGTATGGGTATAGTAATATATGTATAAGTGTGTGTGTGTGTGTGTATTTTCTTTGAACCCAAACGATTCACTCTAATCTGATTAGTTTTACGGATGATCTCTTTATAGTTAGTTATATAAGAAACAAAACATAGGACTGAGGATTCGTTCATTCTCGTTTGAATAGACTACGTATTGTTGAACGTCTTCTTTGAGAGTAACCAGAACCAGCTATATCACCACTAGTGGATTCATGTGAACCTCCATAAGCTGTATCATAGTCTTTGTCTACATTATCATTATCATGTGATGAGCCTCTTGAAAAGTTTAATGATGGGAAATTACTCTTCCTCTATGGGACATGAAATGAAAAAAGGAGGTAATTAGTTCATTTTTTCAAGAATACTGTAAGTGTTTAAAATCAAGTATTTACAAGAATAACGTATGTATGTAGGTGTATCATCATTAGGAACACAACGCAATTGTTAGATCTGATCTGAGATTAGACAAAGGATATCAGTTTTTTGAACTATTCTTTATGATCTTCTGGCTACGACTACTGACTTCAAGCTCATAGGTAAACAAACTACAGTAACATAAGCTGGTGACAGATTTGAGTAGCTAGAAGTCTTCTAGATTAATAATCTACACTTATTATGCATGTAAAAGCGAACTAACCTCTATCAGACGTTTTATCTTCATCGATATGGTTCATCAGCAGTCTAAGTTATTCCATTCAGCTAAGAGATTAGGATTGTCTACACTAATCCACTTCTAGGTAGCCAATGGTACAAACTTTGCTATTCTCATGGTAGATTATGAATTGGGCATACCCTTACTTTGACAGAACATATTATCAAACATCTTATGTGACTTGAAGATGGTTCTGCTACTTCAGTCAGTTTTGGTTAACCCCTGATGAGCTAGGATTGAAAGAAAAAGAAATTACATCACTGTGATCTGACTAGTGAGTGTTAGAGATTGACATGAATGCCTATCAGCTACTTATATCAGTTAGTAGTATGTATTTAACTGATTTCACTGCAAATCATCACTTAGTAAATTAAAATGGAAGTAAATAAAATCATCGGTTATGCCGTAAATAAAATCTTCTCAAACAGAAAAACAACTATGGAGTGAAATATAATACTCATTAAAGATGAGTTTTTCCCACTTGTACTAGGGGTACCCATTGCAATTTAATTGTTATGCACAAATAGAACCACCTTAATAAAATTATCATTTGCTGAGGTATTATTGAAGGGTTATGGCTGACAGTAGAGTCAGAGAGGCGCACTCCTTCCTACTTAGGACTTGTCAGGTGGATGTACCTAATTCACAGTGAATAGTATTGTTCCCACTATGATTCATGCCCTGGACCAATCCACTAGGCCACTGATTCACCATAGCGAAGCTTTGGATATAGTATAGTTTAGTTATTATGGTTTGTAATTTCTTGTCGTTAGTTAGCGGGGATTATGAAATACAGTCGACGGTAAGATGGATCAACGAAATGATCGGTTTGCAGAAAGCCTACTTGGATAGGGCAGTATTTAAACTATTCCAGTTTTCGCCCGTTCCAATACAAACGGGACTTAGTTAGGTGCTAAATTAATCGAATTCATTGAATATTTACAGCTGATACGTTGGAGGAAGAGACAAGATTATTGACGGAGACATTAAATGAGGACAGCTACCCAGAGAAGTCTATTAGTTGGCATAGACTGGACAGAACATTGAGAAATATTGTCGACTATGCCCCTAAAAAAGATGTTTTCATCAAGCTCCCATTCATTGCCAATGCAAATACCTTGATAATCAGACACAGACTTAACACTGCCATAAAGAACAAATATTATGCAGCTTAGGTTCAGATTCAAGTCAGTGCTTCTATGTGATGGTTGAGAGACTTGACACGTCTCGAAAAGCATTTCAAACAAAATACACACATACATCAACAAATGCCACCTTCGCTCACTCTACACTGAAGATTGGTCAGATGGATGACCACAATAATAAGGATGAGCAAGAATGAAGTGTGGTTGGCCCCACAACAAAACAACCAACAAATATGCAGAAGAATAGAGTGGATATGGATTGGATTGAGTTGGATATGGACTGAGAAGCCAGACCATTTGGGGACACCACGTGTCAGGTGAGGTGAGGTGAGGTGAGGTGAGGTGAGGTGAGGTGAGGCGAGGCGAGGCCGGTATAGGCGAGGCCAGTTCAGGTCGTCGAGTGTAAGCGAAATGGGAAATGACGAGTTGTGCATTTGAGGCGAAGATGACATGGATGATATTGTGTGAGGAAGAAATGAAAGTTTGTAGAGAGTTGTGGAGCGAGGTTTGGAGGACCTTATAGAAGAGAGTGAAATGGCGATGTGCTCCTGAAGCAGTATGTTCTACTAGGAATCCAGGGGACAAATAATGATAAAAATAATAATAAGGTACCGATAATTGAAAATTCAAAGCATATATACCTATCAAAGCCCTTGAAACAGATGAAAGAGGAAGTCGTATTTCACTGTATTTACCAATTTCAATGTACGTATGGTCACATGTGTATAGGGAGGGTCATTGGTCATTGAAAAGAAGGGCCATTGTGAAAGCTGGATTCATAAACGAATACAGTCACCTGACCCAATCGATACCAGAAACAAACTTTCGAGTTCCTTAACAGCTATACATATTATTGAAGTGGACGTCATTTACACGCATCTATGAGACCTATCAGAGATTTATTTTAAAGTTTATTGATGCATTAGCCATTACAAGGTTTATGGCACCTTTATCGCAATAAATCTTCCTTGGTAAATTCGGCTTTCAACCAAAGGTAATTGTACCAATAAATTTTCATACTGATGATGAATGAAGGTGAAGTGAAAATTTGAACCGCGGCCGGATTCAGACCGGTGATTATTATTATAAACGTTCTTGTTGCTTTATTGAAATTTGAATTACTGCTGGATTCGAACCGTCGACCACTGAGTTTTTGGCCCGATGCTCTACCAACTGAGCTTTAAGCTACGAGGTAGAGCATCGGGTCGGGAACCCTGTTGGAATCTAGCCACGGTGCAAATTTTCATTTCACCTTTAATCATTACCTGGCATAAATATTAATCTACGAAGCCACAGATATCCCAGATAGCCGATATCTCGAATTCTACCCAACCTGCATCATTTTAAGCTAAGATAGATTCTATGCCTTTTAGAAAGCTATTTTCTAGTGTGATCTCTAAGTCATCTATACTTTATCTCAAAAACCTACATACAACAATCCATTTCTGTCACCTAAAGAGGCATGTTACGCTTCCACTTGTCTCAGGATTCTTACCGTCAGCAATTAGTCTAATTTAAGCCAATGCTATACTAATCTCCTCTAATCATCTGCATTTTCATCCAAAGTTGTCTACGAGCTGTTAAGTTGAAAGATTCAATCAAAATAAAATGTAATTAATGAGGAAAATTCTACCCGTATGTAATCTCTGTTTATGCTATAACAAAGTAAAGTTCATCTGTAATAAAAAGTGAATTCTAACCTTATCTCAGAGAGTTTCTCAACTTGGGGCTCTCAGTGGAGATTACAGTACTATATGAGAAACTAAATAGGTAGGATGAGCATCTACTTTTAGAAAGGATTTGTTTAGGTATTCAATCCCGATCAGCAGGTTATAGATGGGATAATGCTGAATATCTTCTCTTGTTATGGAAGGCTTTTGACGAATTATTAGTAAGTACCATTCTCAGAAGTATCTGTTGTTGGTGTATTTGTTGAATATCACCTCCTCCCATTCGAGCCTGAACTTGACTACATAATATCCCAAGCAGCTTCTAACCACAGTCTCAAAAATTCACAGACTAACGTAAGTATTTTAATCGTATAAGAGGAAATGATGTAACTGAGTAGAAGTGTATACATTATTGAAAGTAAAAATTAGGAAATCTTGTCAGTTCTATGCACCAGCTTGACTAACTTACATTTGAGTTATTCGGATATGGATTCAAATCCATCACTATAATTGAATCTTCATTTTCTTGAAATCTTTCAACTCCATTATGATCCAAATCATTACGAAAATGTTTTGTTGACTTTCGATTAACATCTGTAGCCTCAGTGTCAGCAACACCATATGATCCAGTTTGTAGACGAGGAGAGGTGGATCGTGGAGTGTAGACAGATTTCTCTTTTTCACTATTAGGCTGTAAAAATATAATAATAATAATAATAATAAGGAACTGAGTAAGTTTATCATCACCACAGAGTTTCAAAGACAAAATGATAATCTGTTGAAATAAAAAAGTTCCTGTATCATTCAGAAGAATGATCTCATTAGAAGGAAACTGTTATTATGCTCATTAGATCAGTACAGCTTGATAAAGAGACAAGAATACATGCGAACAGTTACCTCCCCTTTATCCATAAGCTAAACGTACTTCTAAAAATCCGATAGAAGACTTTAATTCGTGATTAAAATCTTAAGTTCATAAAGACATGTAAGTGAAATGCACTATCAGGGTAGTTATTGAAAATTTGGAAGCAAGGAACAACTGTTTCGTTCTAGTACGAAAATCGTCAGCAATATGCTCCTACAACTCCAGGAGGTCTAGGACTTACAACCTTCATCTTTAACAGAGAGCTCATTAATCACTCAACTACTGGGTTGGATTCCAAAGTTACTGAGTCCGAACTCTCATAAGATTGTAAAAGCTTATCCATCAGGAGTCACATATTAGGACAAAACAGCCTCCTAGTGCTCACAGGTTTTCAACAGTTCTGCAACTGATTTCAGTCTTTGATAAGCACTAACTTGGAAATAAAATCCCCATTAACTTCAAAAAATACATTATAAGTGATTAAGTTTAAATGACAAGTTGAGTAATATGACGAAATATTTAAAGGATGAATTTTTTTCATGATGAGTATAGTAACAAGAAACATTTGAAAATACAAAAGAAATGAATAGAACGAAAGAGTTAGAGTGGAGGGGGAATGTTTTTAAACGCTAAAGATTAAGTTCATGCAAGAAACACAAGTTAGACAAATCTCTTTTGTACGCAAACCGGCGGCTTATCTGTCTGAGTTCCTAAAACCTAAGGAATATTAAGGAGACAGATGTTGATTGGCTTTGATAAGTTTCTTTTTACTCTGTAACCATCTTTTAAAGAGATGGTTGTGGTAAATGAATGACCAGTATCCTTATGGTTTTCCACTATCACAATTCTTATAGATCCACTGAAATCTCTTCTTTGTTACGCAGGATAGTATTCTTGAGCCCTTTCGAACAGGACCTGCGTCGAACAACCAATATACCCAGCTCCGTAGCAGTTGATGAACTGATATACACAGAAGCAAGACCTTTTATTTCAGATTCATGTAAAGTAATGGGTGACTAGAGAACATTGTTTTGAGAGTTACTAAAACGAAAGTACTTTTCAGGGAGCTTGAAATCCTGCTTTTCATGATGCCAGTAACTAGATCACCACTGAGGTTAACGTTCTTATACAGGATCTTTTTCGATATTGAAATCAAGTCATTTCTTGGAGGTTTCATTTTGGTGTTGATATCTTTGGACGGAGGTGAATATTCATTTTCAACTAAACTTTTTCTTAGAATGTTTGTCTCTTCGTTTATACCATCTATGTTCGGATGCAAGTAGCAAACGATACAATTAATTTTCTCTTCTAATCCACAAGAAGCAACTATTGGGAAGAGTATTACATTCCCCACAGAGGTTAAACCAAAGCATTTTTCACAGGAGCCATCTTTCGCAGTTATCTTAGAATTAAAAAACTGCAAGCTAATGGCTTTACGCTGTTGTTTCACTTATAAATAAACTTGGGTCTGTAAACATGAACATCTTTGCAAATAATCGTGACCTCGCAGGACGATATAAGACATCTTCTTAGGCTAAGCAACTACATTGACAAGATTATGCAGGAATAATAGTTCAGTACCGGTTTAATATGTGTTAGTAATTAAGCTACATTCAGAAAATCCCCAGCAGGAAAGATGGTTCCTCTCTATCCTTCAAATCTTTATAATTTGGATTTTATGAAGGCAGTAAAGTAATGGTAAACTCATGTATGCATAATGGTTTGAAAATCTGGAATGCATCACCTTCACCCTTCCATCCACCTATTAGAAAATGGTAAAAATAAATCAACAACTGTGTGTGAGGAATGATTACCAAGGAAGTGAAAAGAAGGCTGATTGATAGAGGTGAACTGTGGTACTGTGGAATAGCTACTTCTTGTAAAGTAAATAAAAATAATTTTAACTAAAAGTATATTTATTCCTCTCTCATGTTCTCCTTCGTTGGTAAAAGTTAATAGTCAATTGGAAAGAGAAGGTACTTAGCCTAGGTTTCAAATGGTTGGTTGACAGTCATCAGCAGTTTGAATTCACAGTCTTCAAGAAAAATACATGTTTCCATAGAGGTTCAACCTTGGATTATTCAACTCTGAAAATAAATACCTTAATAGATTAGCGTGTTAAGATTGAAGCATGACTTCAAAATAATGGGAAAGATTTTCAACTAAAGATGAGGATGTTCATGGTTTAGTATTCTCTAATCTATGGTATTTTGTCATGGATATTTCATCACCAGGTTTTGTGACATTCTCAGTACCAACTTCATAAAGAAGAATATCAAACCATCATCAAGCATGGGTTCCTTCCTATATATCCATTCTTAAGATTTAAGTTGAAATATGATGTACTAAAGTGTTATGTCAGTTAGCCTCAGTGGCTTCAGTCAGTGTATAGAACGTGATATAGATGCATCAGTCTTACATGATCTAATGACCATTTCACCTACCGTTTTATTGCTTACACTGGTTATGACAATTTCAAGCTGAATTATTACACTGAATAAATTTCAGTAAGCTTCAATTTTCATTCAAGTAAACCAATTATTACGTTTTTTTGTAAAAAAGAAACATCAGTCATCATTGTATATCTTTTTAATTAAATCAAACAGAAATATTGGCGTTTAACAAATACATAAGGAATATATGTAGAAGGTTAAGTGTAATTCCCTAAAAAAGGATTGTTAGAGAAACTATTTGTTTACATACTTCATCTGTGTATATTTGTGATAAGATTAGGTATGAAATTGTCGAAGTGTTATTATGACGAGTAAGATTATCACTTAACTGGTTTCTGAAATGTCACATCAGATAATCGTCAATATTAGATGTGAATTTCTTTAGTTTTTGAGGAAGTTGTGGGGATTTGGAAATATTTCAAGTTGTTACTCATCATATAATGAGATCAATTGGAGAAATAAAGGAAACCTGGGAGCACTGGAAAGCCGTTTCGTCCTAGTATGGGACTCCTCAGCAGTGGGCACCCAGGACACCACTAGGGATCGAACCCGCGGTGGCACTATATCGTGAGCTAACAAAAATTGGAAATATGGACCACTGGATTCTGACCAAGTGGCTCAATGTCAACGTGCTGGCCAAGGAACCTGAAGGTCACTGGTTCGATCCATGGCGGGATGGGGTCGTGGGTGCGCACTGCTGAGGAGTCCCATACTAGGACGAAACAGCTGTCAATTATTCCCAGGTTTCTTTTGTTCCTCCAGCTGATGTCAGTCTACGATGAATAACAACTTGAGATATCTATCTGTCTATGAAATACCCGAATTAATTAGTAGTAACGTTATACCGGGCCTGGTTATAACTAGTTCACTTGTTACTAACCGGTCCTAAACTCGGATAAAGAGCGAAGATTAGGCTTAGGGCTGGCAGCCGTACCCCGGAAAACCAATCCAATCGCTAAAGAAACTTCAAAGCACAAATAATAAAATTACACTATGGATTCAATTTATTGTTTTGACCGTTCTCATTAGCTGTTGGCAATTTGGCTTATTATGAAAATTCCAGATTGGGAGCAGCTGATGATAGACTTAGAAACAATAAAATGGATGCACATCATTCTGCTCCATTATATTGCTTTCGCTTTTTTAATATTGACCAGGAGAATTTACGTGTATGAAACAGAATCACTGATGATAATGCTGAGTGGAAAAGATTCCTTTCTTAAGGATAACATATGTGAACATTATCGCATTCATACAGCTTTACAGGTTATAAACAGTTAACTGATAAAAAACAAAATTATCACATTGAAGTATTATGATTCATTTTAGAGATTTATAGGGATTCAACTATTAATCTGCTCAACAATAGTATTCGATGATGGTTACTCTATATCACTAATCTACAGAAGTAGAAAAATGTAAACCTCCAGGTCCCAGTCAAGTGTTTCAATGGTGGCATGGCTATGAAACCCAGAGGTACTGGGTGCGACCCCTGACGGAGTTATGGATGCGAACTACTGAGGAGTCGCATACCAGGACGAAACTATTGCCCAGTGTTCTGAGGTTTTCGATGGTTCTTCAACAGCTGTCATTCCAAAATGAATACTAATTTGAAATATTATAGTTTATGCAACCATTCTGTGATAATTTATCTTGTTATAGATTGGATAATACATACATAATGCATACACATTTTCAGTCTGTTAGCTTCTAACTGAGTTCTTATTCAGCTTCTTAAGTTCGCTTTGTCTTCTTGCTACTTACATTATCGAGGAATACATTTTGTTTTAATTTCAGCAGTCTATCACCAACCTAAACTTGACTTTTGCCAAAGATGATTATATGATATGATCACTATTCAACATTTAAAATATAGTGCCATACTTCTGTATGCAGTTATATCAGTAGCATATAGCATACTACTACTTTTACTAATAATCAGGAAACCACACCAACAGAAATGTTTGAGCAGTATTTCCTGAAATATCTATAACTCTAAACATATGAATACATCAGATTTACATAAAATTCTGAATAATAGTAGCCGATTTATAAACTAAGTACAATGAACCATCTCTCAGTAGCAAATAGTTATGCACCAAGTGATAATATATATTTTGAAGTTGCTATCTTCTTAGGCTTAAAGAATGACGATTAAATTAAAATAGGTTCCTATAATTATTTTAATGACAGATGATAATAACAACAATAATTATTATTATTATTTGTCCTTTAGGTTCCTAGTAGAACATACTGCTTCAGGAGCACACCACCATTTCACTCTCTTCTATAAAGTCCTCCAAACCTCGCTCCACAACCCCCACAAACTTTCGTTTCTTCCTCACACTATATCATCCATGTCACCATCGCCTCAGATGCACAACTAGTCACTTCCCATTTCGCTTACACTCGACGACCTGAACTGGCCTCGCCTATACCGGCCTCACCACACCTCACCTCACCTCACTTCACCTCATCTGACACGTGATGTCCCCAAATGGTCTCGCTTCTCAGTCCATATCCAACTCAATCCAATCCATATCCACTTTATTCTTCTGCATATTTGTTTGGCGACAGGTGGTTGGTTGTTTTGTTGTGGGGCCAACCACACTTCATTCTTGCTCATCCTTATTATTGTGGTCATCCATCTGACCAATCTTCAGTGTAGAGTGAGCGAAGGTGGCATTTGTTGATGTATGTGTGTATTTTGTTTGAAATGCTTTTCGAGACGTGTCAAGTCTCTCAACCATCACATGGAAGCACTGACTGACTTGACTGACATTAGTGTTGAAAATCCGCATCTTGTTCATGGTTTATACTCAGTGTGGTTGATCTCCACACTGATTATTTCAGATGAATGAAATGTGGCCCATCTTGTTGTCCTTCTTATCCTGACTTTGACATTTTCATGTGTACCGCCGTCTCCTGTAGTTGAAACAATGCTGTCTGGGTAGATATGTGGGTGGGTGAAAGAGACAACTTCCTTTAGGTTTCTCCTGTTCATGGTGACTGATGTATCCTGTTATTGTTGTTCTTCTTGTTGGTTGGGTGTCTTCTTCACCTCTATCTTTTCTACGTTCACGTGAAGCAACTTCTGTCTTCCTTAGCTGCTCGGCCTCACTTCTTCTGCCAACTTGTTAGTTTTCGTCTGTATATCTTCGAGTTTGTGCTACAAGACATTAGACATAAATTATCATTGGTGGTGAAATGCAAATCTTCTTCTAGGGTCTTTTCATCAGTCAGTTAGCGTATGCCCATCTTCTTGCTCCTCAGAGTTGTTTGTTGCATGATCTATTTGAGTCCATTTTAGTGGACCACAATGAGGATGGTGGATGATGATAGTAGGCGGCAACTTTGTCTTACTCCTATCTTCACTTCACTTCAAATGCATTATTTTATACTTAGGCTTTGTATTCAAAGGAAAAATAATAAAGTGATTCAGTGGAAGCTCTCTTTTCTTCCAGTCACAAAAATAATCTTCACTGAAATGCATATGACTTTCATCTCACATTTCAGTTAATATCCCTTGTGTTTTGAACCTCATTGACGAAATTTCATTAGTGAAGGAGCCTAACAGATTCTTAGAGTTATTCTATGAAACTTGTTGAAATGAATGACGTGGCTCACTTTCCTAATAAATATCACTGGTATTCAAAGTGACAACTGTGGACCCTTCATCGAAGTCGTATTTACTAAACCAACTTACATACATCAGTACGAAGGAAACATACCATTTCCATTCCATTACGGGGTCCCATACCTCCTAGAGTGAACTGTATATTATAGCGACTACTTTCATTATTGTAGATTTTCATTAGATAAACACCAGGTAAGTTCTGAATATAACAGAAAACAGACTCTTTGTTAAACTAATTGTTCTAGATATATCGACTTCTGATGGATGGATATCTTATGCCTTTCAATACATCAATGGGTAGTAAAAGTACACTTGAAATATTGAAGAATCTTGAAATGAGATGAAAAACCTAACAAACATCAAGTGATATGATAAATAATGGCTTCAAGTTTTTCAAGGTCCCTCTTGAGAGGAAAACTGATTGCCTGCCTAATAATCACCATATCACTTTCAAACCGACTGTTTATTAGTTGATGGTAAGATGATAACCATTTATACCTTAATGATAACTACTCTCAATAATCGTTTTCTGTGGTTATTGTCCTTTTATTTGGATACTATGGGAAAATATAAACGCAGACGGTGGACCAGTACTTTAGTCATTTTGTGTCGTAGGCTAGCTACCAGTCAATCATAGCAACATTCTGATCCTAAGCATCAGTTTAAACACCAAGTCTAGACTGTTGTTATTCTAGACAACAGTACCATAATTTTCACTTACACTCAAGTTATAGTTCAACATAGTTCTGATATATCCGTCTTTCACAGAAATACTTATACAACAGCTCTCACATAGTCATGTAACTACACGGTTGTCCTAACTCCGGCTATCTGGTTAGCGAAATCTACACATCAGTTTCAGTGGCTATGAGATACTTATGTTATTCAGTAACATGTTTTAAAATAGTCTCCTCATTTTTAGAATTGTTACTGCATGAAACTCAATGAGTTTTTGACGAAAGTGCAGTTGATACTGGGTGATGACTGAAGGTGAAATAGAGACCTTGGCCGCGATAGGATTCCAGCCGGCAAATTCTACGTTACGGGTTCCGTGCCTCTCCACTGTAAACATTTCTTCACTTTATGGTTGCACTACTGTCAGATTATCCATATTTGTCTAAACAGTCATTCCTAAAATAACTCACACACATACTGAGACTGTGGTGAGATTTTACTCCTAGTTCAGCTTAACCCTGGTAATTATTACTTAACATTGCGAATCCTGGCACCACAAGTCAAAGGATGCAGTTAATTGCAGTAGTAGAATTATTGAATCATTGAAACAATATTTCTGTGTTATCAGTATGAGTGTAACCGAAATGAAAGGTTAAATTATAACTTCAGAGTCCTGAAATAGTTGTGGCCGTGGATCTCCTAGCAGTACTGCAAGTTACCTCCCTTCTCTTGCGTCTAGTCCTCAGTTCTGTTCATCTCATAAAGGCATTGTAAACAGTTAGATAGAGTTTCTCTTAACTAATTATCTTATTATATGACTGCATTAGAGAATCCATAGATGTTCGACAATAAACTGAAATTCTTTTTATAGATACGACAAGAATTTCCTTGATATAGGATGATCATCATCGGTAGACATCTACTTCATTCTCTACCTGATCTGTTCCATAAAATCTACCAGTCCTTAAAGAAACCCAGTTGACATTGCAGTCTACCTCTCATTATGGACCTGCTTCGACATCAAATTTCCAAAGTTCTAATGAAAACTCGTGATCTTTAGAGTCGACTAGGTCTGAATGCCTATCGATCGGTATGGGTGACGGTGATGTTACATTGTGAACTGACACAAGTAGGAAGATGTAGATCGTTGCGTCCCACTCCAGTGACTGATGCGTTAAACGTGAGACCTGATGGTCTTCAGCTTGATGCGTTGCTGAGTTGAGAGTGTCCACTGCTGGTGAGTTCCAAACAAGAAAAAGACAGTTGTTAAGTATTTCCAGGTTCGAAATAGTTCTGAGACTGATTTCAGACCATGACGAGGACTGCTTTGAAATAAATAAATGGGACCAACCTCGTTAAAAAAACCCAGAGAATACCATTAACATTAACAAGATTTTCACAACTAAATTATGCTACTTACCACTGTCTCTAATTTCGTATTCCTAACAAATTTAGCATTTTCATATTGTGTTGGATTTGACTGACTTTGTATTCCAGTTGACTGATTACGCGAATCAATTAGACAAGCTTGTTCTCGATTGCCAATCGGTCGATTGTTTTGTAATCTTAGCCTATCATTATCACGTGGATTTGTAGAAGTTAGTTGTGATGAGAAAACAGATGAATTAATTTGTTTATTTGTAAAATTAGTTTCATTTGTACACGGTTGTAAAAAATTTGAAGGCACAAGACCACGACGACCATCTCTTGTCTCACCATAATAAAATCCATCATCATCCATATCACCGAATACAGTTATCTGTTCACCTGATTTGAATGAAAGCTCAGCCTAAAATATAGAAACCAAGTTAAATATAAAAGTTTATATACATATATATAAAGAATGTAATGCATAGTAATGTAGGTAATACAGTAAAGTATAATATGATCTTAAGAATGATGAATGCTGTAAATTAAATTACTGTTTTATGCCGAGAGATGAGAGATTATCCTAAGTTCTAATGAGAAGTCGTGGACTGTGAGGTAAATAAAATCAAGCTTGCAGACAAGTATTCAACAAAGGCATTGAATGAAGATCTCACCATATCATGAACTCATAGAAGTAAGAGAATGTGGACCATCGCATTCCGACCCAGTGGAAACGTGTTCTTCGCGAAACCATGAAGGTCCTACGTTTAATCCCTGGTGGCGTTAGGGATGGGCACTACTGAGGAATCTCAATTCAGAAGGAAGGATCTGTAAATGATGTCAGTCCATGATGAGAACCACCTTGAAATCTATCAATCCTCAAACTGAATAAAAATAAACTGGGAATATTTCTGCTGGGTGGGAACCTGTCTACACCCTCGTAATTTGACCATCATAGGACTCATTGGCTAGACATGTTGATTTCAGGGTTATGTTCTCTTTAGGTATACATACGAGCAAGGTGTCGAAAAGGTCCATGTGCATGCACAGGTTTGCACCAGTCGATGAACTACACATTAAGTCCCTACCTGTACTGTCTGTGTGTGTGTGTATGTTCATAATGTACGCATTCACATCGGCTCACTTGTAGGTAATTCACTAAAATTATCACTCGGACTATCTAGGATAGCGGTGATTTGGTAGACTTGTACTGATACTGAGTGATGATTGAAGGTGAAATGAAAATCTGGGACATGGTAGGATTCATACAAGCGACAAACTGGTTTCTGGGTTCGGTGGAAGAAAAGGGTACAACTATTCAGCCATTGCAAACTAAATTTTTAATAAAGGAGTACTTAGGAAATTACGATTGCTGTCAAGGCGTGGTACTCAATATTGATTAAAATTTATCGACTGTACAATACAGATGGGTTCGTATAAATATCTCTATGACCTTTGGGAATGCATATGTTGGTAGATATTAGTTACTTGTTATTATTTATTATTTGTCCCTTGGGTTCCTAGTGGAACATACGGCTTCAGTAGCACGTTTCCATTCCACTCTGTTCTCTGCAATCTTTTGAACCTGGCTCCACGACTGCCCAGAAGCTCTCTTTTTTATCCACACACAATCTCCTCCATGTCACCCTCTCACACAACTCGTCGTTTCGCACCTGAATTCCACTCGAGCAACTGTCCTGGTGCGTGATGTCCCCGAATGGTCTTTTCGGTGCCTGCCCAATTCATCTCCACTATCTTCTGCATATTGGTTGAGCGATAGCTTCTTGGTTGGTTCGTTGCCAGCCAGCCAGAGTTCCTTGTTGCTTATTCTTTATGGCCGTCTGAGCTCCAGTGACGAGCCAGCGTAGGCAGTTGTTGATGAATGTCTGTAGTTTGTTGGAAATGCGCTTCGTAACGCGATAAAAGTCTCTCAACCATCACATGGAATCACTGACTTGACTGGATTGGTGTTGAAAATCTGGATGTTGTTCCACATGCTGAGTGGAGTGCAGTAGATCTTCACATTGATTTCAGGTTAATGAAAGCCTGTCTTGCTGTCTTTCCAATCCTGGCTGGCTTTGACGTCCTCATCTGCTCCTGTGCCGCCGCCTGTAGTTGAAACGATGCTGCCCGGATAGGTGAAAGAGGCTACTTTCTTTAAGTTTCCCCCGTTGATGGTGATTGGAGCTTGTTGTTGTCGGTGATAGTGGTGTTGGTTGGGTATCATCATCACCTCTGTCTTCTCTAAGTTCACTTGAAGTCCTGTCTTCGGTGCCTCTTCATTAGTTGCTAGAAAAGTTGTATTAATTTTAAAATTCAATAACTACTGAATGCATAACGGTTGAGAATGCTATGAATGCAACAATGAACTTTTCTTTAACACGGTCAGTCACTTTTTAGTAATGATGGGCAGTGGCTAGCAGTGGAATCCAGGAAGCTAGCCAATGCCGATCATTACTAAAACATAATTAAAAGACAGGCCATATCGAGGCATCCGCATAGGAGCCCATATGCCAACAGAGACTGATCAATTCGGTCCAATCAACGACGGTGTAATACAAACAATAACACGGTCAGTCATTGTTTAAAATCCCGACTATACTGAATAAATGTATGTTGTGGGCGGGTGTATAACACGTTAAAGATGATACATTTGTGCTAAAATGTTTATCTTTTTTTCCAAGTGAATTACACAATATTTCTTGGAAAGAACTATTTGAAATGATAGATAATATGGGTTCAAAATTAAAAGTCCTTTTGAATGAATAACCAGAAGTTTCATAAAATTTACATGAATACCTTGAATGTTGTGGACTCCTATGGAAAAAACTTCTATGTAAGACATAAAGAAAGAGTGTATCGAAGGTATTAGTAAACATTTGCATCGATTTTTAGTGAAAACAGTTTATAAAAGCTAATGTTCATAACTTCCAAGTCACTTGTTTTCATAATTTCTTTGTAGTTGATATTCAATGTAACTTTCATTTATACGATGTATATGCTTGAAATAGAATTTTGCAACCACACGATTTTTGCATTTATCCATGTGAGTGGTTAGGAGTTTGAAATCTTGACGAGATGAAAATTTATAAGTCTTTAATTATTCCACGCCTTTTCACTACTCACTAAACTGTTCATCACTTTAGAGGTTCTTCTCAAAAGTGACTATGTTAAGATACATATTTTTGTGTGTGTGTGCTCAAGAAAGGGTGAATATACTCATTCAATAAATGTCCTTTAGGAAATGAGCATTCATACATTATGCCATTCTTTATCGATATCATTTCTGAAAACTTACTTCATCTGACACATAAAAACTTAAATTCGTGAAAGCAATACGATATTATGTCTTCTTGCGGCATTCACTAACACATCTGTAATGATATGAAACATTTGAAGTTGCCTGAAACGACATAATTTTTACATTTGAACATTATATGAATCTTAATTCCCCCTACAAAAATATGCAACGGGAGATAAATCAAGCCAGTTGCCTTTCAACTAGTATATCTCAACATTTGTGGCTTCTACTGAGGTCTAAAAGGTTAGGTATTATCATTCATCTTCATACATTTGATTTAACCGATCAGTTTCTGAGTTACGCTGATAATTATATTATAAAAAAATGTTATGCTTCAACAGCTAAAAACTATTCTGGATCCCAAATTTCTTACAAGTTAGCGAACTAGAGTGAGATAAATCTGTAACCGGCTAATGTCCAAGCTTTCATTGGCCAACTGTTAATTCGGAGGTCTTCTCAAATATTTACCTTGGGGGTTAAAATGGTTTGTGTCTAGTTATTGGCCATAGGTTGACCTCTTCTCGGGGACCTCAACCAGGCAGCCCATATCTCCTCATATGGCTCAGACCAAAAGCTAGGGACTGCTCTGACTGGACACCTTGAACCCCCTCCCAAACTAATCCCGCTTCTCTTAACATGACACATGGAGGTAAGTGGTGGATTTGCCTGCGTAGAACATGTCTAGGTCATTTCAATCGACAATGCTTCACGGCCTCATCAATCAGCTTGCCTAGTTTGCCTTGTACCCTTTGCCTGATGTCAACATTGCTCACATAGCGATTTCATCAAACACGAGCAATACAACGAAGATATCTGTGATCACTTCATATCTTCTGCTTTCAATAGCCATATCTCACGGCCGTACAACATGACAAAATAGGCTGCTGCTTAATTATACCCTCTGCAACAACATGCTTTCGATTTGTTCAGTTTACCGATGGTGCTTAGAAGAAACAGTTATGTTGTTCAGTATATCAACTAGGTAGAGGCTATGGAATCTTTCATTAGGCAAACCGGAATCAATTTGTACGCTCTTGTGTTGTTTTAACCGTTCAAAGTACCATTCGCTTTTGTATTTCCACAAAGGTGGGATTACTCACTGTTCTTCCGTGTGGCAAACAAAGACAAAGGTAATGACCTAACGCAAAATATACTGATTTACACCTGTGAATGCCTAAATAGTAACAATCCCATCCCACTGTCACTCAGTTCATTAAGTATAGAAAAGGTGCTATTGTATGAAACGATAAGATAGAGAGGCAAGGAGGAATATTTATTATTGACATCTTGTGTAACAGTGATGAAATATTGTAGACTTTCCATTAAAACAGTCATTTGAGCAATGTACTTCATTTCCTTTTCTACTTCTGCCTCCTGATTTGCTCTTAATACGCCCATATTGTCTCTTACGTTTCTCTGGGCTGAATATTTACCCATCACCGGTGATTGCCTATGATTTCTACCTCCCTGTCAACATATACTACTTATATACATTCTGATCACCAATGCCCACTATACGATTACAGCAGAAGGTATGATGTGATGTTAAATCGTTCACAAAAGACAATGGTTGGTTGTTGTTAGACCATTCAAGAAAGCCGCTATGTACTGATCTCATGTGTCTCACCAACCAGTTTGTCACTTACTTGTATAACCATTCGTCTTTTCTCGAAACTTTGGAGTATGCTGATTGGTTGTGATAAACTTCAAAGGTTTTATGCCCCTATGAAGGAGTTGGACAACTACACTGGGCATCATGACAGGCTGTATGATGAATGCTATTCTGTTACTTAATTAATTCGAATCCTAGACAAGGGAGAATACTAAATATTGTCACGCGGTATAGCAGATAAATACAAGTAGAAGTATATTTTGGATATTATTTATGGCAGTTTTAATCCCAAAACTCAAATCTTGCAGACAAAACTTACATCAGCATCTGCATTGGGACTTAGTACATGTGGGTCATAATCGTAGATAGCAATCATAATTCTAGCTTCCTGATCCTGTTGATGTCTGACTGATTCAGCTTGTTTGCTCTGTATTGTACCTGAAAGAAAATTAATATTAATTGTTTTCAGGTTGTAAGGTGAGAAAAAAACCCAGCATAGACAGGTCAATACACGCACTTCCTTAGCGCCATACCCTTTTAATACAAGAGAAACCTGATGGGATGTTTAGCTTACCGCGGTACAGCTATTCGCTGTGATAACAGTATAAAGGAAGAATTCGCTACTATTCACGACATGCTTGGTAGGAATGGCTATCTAGTAGAGTTCGTAACTAAGCGCATGAATGTTACGAAGGTTAAGTCAAGATTGCTAAGAAGCAGAGAAGAAAATCTTCATGAAACTGGAATTCAAGGGTGATATTTTTAGTGAAATCACCATACAATGCATAAAAAGAGCCTAGTAAACAACATTTTCAGCCGCTAGTTTATATCCGGGGCACAAGAAATGAAGTTTATCTGCCTGATTTTGTCACCTTCATGTGCATTTATTAGTTCAACTGCTCTTGTGAAGCTGGTTGTATTCAGCATACAATGAAGCAGGTTCATCGTCAAATTTCAGAGCACCACCCATCATGGTTGTATGCGGGACAGATTAGAACAATAAAGAGCTCCATACTTGCACACTTAGCGGACACAGGACATCAAGTGGATACTAGAAAAGCATTCATAATTATTCATCACATACCAACTAGTTTACCATATGGATTACGCATTCGCTTACTTCCTCATAGAATAGACGATTGGAATTCACCTTTGCAAATCTAACCTTTGTTTTCAAAAATTTGTTTGACCACTTTCATTACAGTGGCCGTCAACATGATGTAACTCTTACACCTCTTCCTCCTCTTGTTTCTATCAATATTCATTTGTTTTTTATTAGTAAGTAATCATATATTGTTTATGACTGGTAATTCGTAACAACTATGGTCTAGATGTCAATAATATATAGTTACTGTTCATCAACTCCCTACAGCTTGATTGGTGTTTTTATTGAATAGTAAACCCTCTATATATTAGTGTAGATTGAAAAACGAGGACCTAATTGAAGAGGAGTATATTTCTTTGCTCGATCTATCTTTTTTCTAAAGATTCACGAAACTTTTTTCATGGTTCCATGGCTTCAACGAAAACCGTGTTGATCCTGTCGTAGTTGGACAGTTAAAAAACTACTGAGCTACAAAAATATTGACGTGGATTGTCTAATTTGTAAACTACTATCAAAGTGATCATCCCATTTGAGGTGTATCAGTCTATCGAAGTCAGCCAGCTAGATAGATGAAAGTGGTCTAAACCCTTCGGTTATTTGAGTTGAATTAGTCTGGATACACGGTCAATAAACCTGTTTGGCCCCAAATGTGTGAATTGGCTGTTTGGTGGTTGAATCACTCTGATATGGTTAGCGAAATCTACAGACCACCTTAAGCGGTTTCTAATTACTCAAGTTGTTTAGTAGTATACCTTGACACTTCATGACACTTTGGTTTCATAGATCACACTTTGTGATCTTGGCTGTAAAGTGGCTTTCAAACGGAAACCATACTGACACCACATTTGGGTAGTTGAAAAACCACTCAACTATGAGAAATATCAAAATAGATCACTTAATTTGTAAATCATATAAAAATTGATCATCCTCCAAAAAGAAATCATAATTTACGTGATATATGCAATGAAGTATTGTATTTCTTTTGAGATTTTGGCTGATGATTATAATCCTGTGTTACTTCATCTGTGTACATGTCTTTAGCTTGAGAGTAACCGGGTACTGTGACAGGTGGATGAAACACTGGCTCATGGATGAAATCTGACTGTGAATTTGAAGAAAAACAGAAAAAAAATAATAAAGGCTGTAAATATGATCTAGTGGAAATGGGTCAATCAAATGATGAACAGCTCATTCATAAATCTTATTCATGTAGGAGTACAACTTGGGCACTGTGGTGGATTGTAATTCCATCTTAGTCTGTTTATTAGAAATGTCACTCAATGAAACAGTAACATTAAATGGATAACTTTTCGGACACAATTTATTGTCCATATTCATATCAGGAAGCCAACTCCACAACTTTGAGATAGAGTTTATATAGTCCGAATTTTTTCTTCTTTGTGATGACAAGGGTGGTAGAATCTTCCATATACCTGAGACAGAATCATTTCTATTGCTGTATGTATTTGGTGTTGAGTTGATAGACAAAGATTCACTTATCAGTCTCCCCTTCACCCAACTAAGTTAGTTTTAAACGATGTCTCTCTATCCAACCCTACTGCATGAGTGTGTGTAATTGCGTTCAGAGCTACAGCTGAGCTTTTCTCTAAATTTACTATCTTATTAGGATCTACTAATGTTAATTTAGCTAGGTTTTTCCGCTCTGTTGTTTTAAACAACTCTGGTCGACTACTTTCACCTATGTATTTGACTGCGCAATAATTGCAAAGAATTTGATAAACTAGGTTTTATTAATAATAATCCTACTACTAATGGTAATAATGGTGACAGGGTTGAGAGAGAATTCAGAGCCTCTGCTCTGTTACCATACGCGAAAGGCACCTCGGAAGCATTACGAAGAGTTCTCAATAAGGCTGACTGGGATTAAAGTGGTATTTAAAGCAACAAACTCGCTTAGTAACAAGCCTTCTAGGTCGAAAGATCCTATTGATGCAATTAAGCAACAGAATCTGATATACCAAATCCCTTGGAATGATTGCGAGATCAAGTACATAGGTTAAAGTAGCCAGCTAGGATCAATTAGAATAACTAAGCATGAAAACTTAGCTGGATCAAGATTAGTAGATCTTAATAAGATAAGGAATACTTTAGAGAATAGCCTGGCTATAGCTATGTAGGTGAGGACCAAATTGCAGCGCTTCGCATCATCATAGAACAGAGTATAGAATGGCAGTCAACTCAACTCTATCTCAACTTCATCGACTTTGAGAAGGCCTTTGACAGCGTCGACCGAGAAGTAATTTGGCAGGGAGCTGCTTCAACACTATGGAATACCACCAACGTTTATCAGCCTCATTCAACAACTATATGAAGACGACACATGCCAGGTAATTCACAATGGGAAGCTCAGTGATGCTTTTGAAGTGAAGACAGGAGTGAAACAAGGTTGCCTACTATCCCCTATGATATTCCTGATTGTGGTCGACTGGATCATGCAGCAAACAGTGAGGAGCGAGAAGAGGGAGATACGCTGGACTGCGGAAAAGAACCTAGAAGATTTAAATTTCGCCATTGATGACTTGTGTCTGATGTCAGACAAACTTGAAGATGTACAGGCGAAAACTAACAAGTTGACAGAAAAGTCAAGGCAGCGAAGACAGGACTTCAAGTGAACTTAGAGAAGACAGAGGTGATGATGATACCTAAACAACACCACTATCACCGACAACAACAAGCTCCAATCACCATCAACGGGGGAAACTTAAAGAAAGTAGCCTCTTTCACCTATCCGGGCAGCATCGTTTCAACTACAGGCGGCGGCACAGGAGCAGATGAGGACGTCAAAGCCAGCCAGGATTGGAAAGACAGCAAGACAGGCTTTCATTAACCTGAAATCAATGTGAAGATCTACTGCACTCCACTCAGCATGTGGAACAACATCCAGATTTTCAACACCAATCCAGTCAAGTCAGTGATTCCATGTGATGGTTGAGAGACTTTTATCGCGTTACGAAGCGCATTTCCAACAAACTACAGACATTCATCAACAACTGCCTACGCTGGCTCGTCACTGGAGCTCAGACGGCCATAAAGAATAAGCAACAAGGAACTCTGGCAACGAAGTAACTAAAAACCTATCACCCAACAAATATGCACTGGAAGGAAGTGGAGATGGACTGCGCATACACTGAGAAGGCTGACTGGGGACATCACGCGTCAGGTCCTCAAGTGGAACCCAAATGGGAAGCGACGAGTTGGGTGTCCCAGGTGAGGGTGACATGGGGGAGATGGTGTGAGAAAGAAATGAGAGCTTGTGGGCTGTCGTGAAGCCAGGTTCAAAAGATTTCGGAGAACAGAGTTCACTGGAGACGTGCTACTGAAGCCCTATGTTCCATTAGGAACCCAAGGGACTAATAATAATAATAGCTATGTATTCAGTTGCATACACTAGTGTAGGATAGAGTGACAGTATTAAAAACATAGTTCAATGCAGGGACAGATTGATAATGCAATAGTAGAAATTATTCTGCACCTGTCCTATATATATGGAAAATTCTACAACCCGTATCATCATAAAGATGAAGAGAAAATTAGGACTATATAAACTGTCTCGAAATTGTGAAGTTAGTTAACTGATATGAATATGGACAATAAATTGTGTCCGAAACGTTTTCAATTAAATGCTACTGTTTCACTGTGTGACATTTCTAATAAACAGACCAAAATGGAACTAAATCTTAATAGTTTTCTAGAATGAAATCATAAGAAATGTAGATAGTATTTCATCAAAAAATAACTCTCTATCTTCTTCTACATTTGTAACATTGGAATGCTATGGGTTCAGAATCCTTGCTTTCAGCAGCATTTGACGACACATATTTAAATATCTATGTGAAAATTATTTCCTGGAAGGCTGCTGACCAGTAACAGTAAGTGGGAGAGGTTCACATCAATCATCTTCAACCCATAAAGTACTATTGAAGTAGTTTCTAGGTCTCATGTTTTCAGTGGGTGAGAAATAGAAACAAATGTATGCTTCAGAGGTATTTCATCTTGTAGTATCTATCCGTATTTCATGAACACTTTTTGTTTTTAATATAGAGGTATTTCATTGTCAAGAGTTGACTAGTCGTACATCATAATCAACACTGTTCAACAATGATATATCTACAAAAATGTGCAAGAAATGATGTCAGAAGCTCTTTGATGATACGAAATTAAATGAGACTTTACTACTAGACTATTATGTGCAGCATTATTAACAAAGGAACAGATTATTCTGTTCTTCAGCGATAGTAAAATAGTCGACTCGTCTACTGAAGTCGTTTTCCTCACATAAAAGATGGTTGAAAATGTCATTCTGATATACAATAATTCAGAATATCTCGATAAATTTCTTTAGTGGCTAACGAACACTTGTATAGGGAAGTATCAGTGAAACCCTAGTAACTTTCATTATGAAAATATTAATATTATTAACCAAAGTGTTGCTGGTGAATGATATTTGGCGTGGAAAAGAAAATTTTGGTTTCTGTTGAGCATGAAACACTGGCCTCTAAATACTTGACTAGCAGTAGGGTCATGTGAATCAGTTGGTAGAACGCTTACTTGTTGGTTCCAGCCTTCACGTGACTCACATAATTTGTGGATTATTTGCAGGAAATCCAGTGAAATATGATTTCACTTTTAAGTAGGGTTTAATTCACTGAACACTTGAGCACATTATTTGTCATACATTTTTACAACATAAGCTCGTCAAGAATATGCCTAATCATGAGTTCTGTTAGTAAAAAATAGAACTGTTGTGGAAACTATCTCAAAGTGTCATCATTAGTAGTAATAATACTAATAATAGTAGTGATAAACTTGTGACAGCCTATGATGGTTAGGAGTAGAATCCGGAAAGTGCATTTTGTCCTGTTTATGGCTTCCTGTCACCTAGTGAGTGATGCTCTTCTTACTGAGATGCGAACCCCGCACCGATAGCTTCAATCGCCGAAGCATCATCCGCTAAGCCTCAACCTCTGTTGGTTAGTGGACACTCTTATGCTGATGTCTCGAAACTTGCTGATTATTAATTATGCTTTTTGGATAATGTAATTAGAAGAGGCAGATAATATGGTGATGTATTAGCGCTATGCATTTCGAATAGTCTGATCACATATTTACTTGTTAAGGCATTATATATGAAAACTGGAAGTGGGGGAAGGATGCATATGACATAAGCGAATTCAATAATAAGAAAGATAATGAGGAGAATAAAAGGTAAGACTTGAAGACAATCTTGGTAATACGATAAAATAAGCATTACCAAGGTAGGCTTAATGTAAGGACAAATTGTTGTTGCACACACAACGCGGGGTTAAATTTATTTATGGCTAGCGCCTCGACAAACTTAAGTATACGCCCCTGACAGTTTCTGTACAAAATTGTAAAGGCTGTTTTGATATCAATTCTGTGACTCTTATCAATGACATGTCTCGCAATGAATGATGATGGTTGTTTGCCATCTGCGCTTATCAGTGTTTGTGAATCCAGCTACTTTTGTAGCCATTTTGGAACATGTTCCCCTACCCTCAAGTGCATATCACGATTAGTCCTCCCTACGTATGTTCGTCCAAACACACATGTATATTTATAAATGCGGTGGGATGTGACGCAATCGTCTATACAGAGTTGAAATCTAGGTTGCAGCTGGTGTTTGGTCGTCTCAACTACGATAAGTTTAGATGCACAGTACATTTTACTAACAGTTGACCTTAACCTTTGTTTTAATATTATGCTGTTAGATTCTCCTCTGTATGGTAACGCGATGTAAACGCTTTTCTTTGAAACAGAGTACAGATCACATTTGAATCCTTACTGATTTTTGCAGCGGTTTATGAACTTCATAAACATAATTAATGATTAGACAATATCGACGCATCTACATTGGAGTTCATACATCAACAGACGTCAAACAGTTTGATGTAGAATAACAAGGGGGAAATTACAAGTATCAGTAAGTGTTATACACTATAGTCTCTGTTGAACATGTGAACATCCCAATTCAAATTAATATCTTGATTACTTGTTATCTCTAGCTATTAAACGATTTTTGTTCAAAGCAAAAACTTGAAAAAATTCACTGTGTGTAAATAAACATGGAAGAAGAAGGTCAATTCTTGTTCATTTTGTTTTCATAAAATACAGCAAATTGTTGAGAAAGTGAAAAGAGACAACTAAACTTGTAGGCAACATGGGTCATAGTTAATCTTTGTATTATAGCTTTGCTCAATTCCTGAATAGTCACCAAAAAGTAAACATACATTAGAACTTAATCGATACATTTCAACTTACGTTTCGTGGTACAGAATAAGCTTGTTGAATCATATGATCATGCTTCCTAGTTAGATAATAATTGTGACCAGATGAATTCAGTTGACTTTGTGAAGTGATATCCATGGAACGTGCTTTAGTAACTTGACCTGGAGGAGCTAAATTCGTTTCTATAAGATTTGTACGTGAATCGACAGGATGATTAGATTTTTGTCCTTTTGATAAATCTGATTCTACTAATTCAGATACCATATTCGATGGGACTAATCCACGTAGGCCATTACACTCACCTAGATAAAATCCATCTTCATCACATTCAGTTAGAATCTAAAAATAATAAAATCAATTGAAAGGATGGTATTCAGATATTGTCTTACGCATAGGCGGCAGTTAATATTGTTAAACTATTTACACAAATTGATAATCCAAAGTTCTTTGAGAAAGCTATGACTTCTGGAAATAAATAAGTCACATTTGAATGTAAATACTTGCCAGTGGTATTGAATGGTGGTCACGCTAAATCGTAATTTGATTGAGGAAGGAACACTAAAATGTTCAACGACTAAGAGCTTGGTGGGTTGTTGGGCTGTAGTTGAGCACTGCTCAGAAATTTCCTACTATGAAGAAACAGTTGTCCAGTGATCTCAGGTTTATAGTGGTTTTCCAACTGACTGAAGTTCTTGATGAATACTATCATGAAACCAATCGATCTCTTCATATCATCAGATAAACATTGAAAGCGTCGAATGTTAAAGTGCTAACCATTGCTAACTGATGAGGCCACATGGTATAACTTTATCCATTATCTGTTGCCTTTAGTGTTTCATGACGAAGAATGATGGTAACAAGGATACTACTTAATCCATTGGTTGTTCTCGTTTTATTCAATGAAAATCTGCATAGTCAAGTTAGGAGTACTTTAATCGCAATCTTATTGATCATTATTATTTTTTTCTTGGGTTTCTAGTGGAACACAGGGCTTCAGTAGTACGTCGCCATTTCAAACGCCTCTCTGCAGCCCGTACAACATGGCTCCATGACTGCCCATAACCTTTCATTTCTTCCTCACACTATCTCCTTCATCTCACCCTCGGACACCCAACTCGTCTTTCTTCATTTCGGTTCCCCAAACGGTTGTCTCACTGTACATTCAATCCATCTCCACCTCGGCTTTCTTCCGTATATGCGTTTGGCGATAGGTTCTTCGTCGGTTCGTTGAGGGGCCAGGCAGAGCTGCTTGATGCTTATTCTTTCTGACCATCTGATCTTCAGTAACAAGGGTTGGCAGCTCTTTACGAATGTCTGTAGTTTGTTGAAAATGCTACTCATAATGCGCCATGACTCTGAACCATCATATAGAAGCACTGACTTACTTGACTGACTTAGTGTTGAAAATCCACATCTTGTTCACGCTTTATGCTGAGTGGAGTGCAGTACACTACAATAGATCTCCATACCAATTTTATTTAAGACTAATGAAGGAAGGTCTGCCTATCTTGCAAAGTCCCGTCTTCTTTCACTGCCCTGCCCTACCCTGCCTCACCTCTCCTGCCAACTTGTTAGCTTTCGCCTGTACATCTTCGAGCTTGTACTACAAGACATAAGACATAAATCATCATCGGTGCTGAAATCCAAATCTTCTTCAATCGTCTTCTTTCTCATCAGTCTAACAACGTGTGCCCATCTTCTCACTCCTCACAGTTTCTTGCATGATCCAGTCGAGTCCGGTCGAGTCGAGTCAACCAAAATCAGGAAGATTATTGGCGATAGTAGATGGAAGACTTGTCTCACTCCTGTCTCCTCTTCAATGGTATCACTGAGCTTTCCATTGTGTTGTGAATCACTTGGCATGTAGCATCTATCTGTTGAATGAGCATGGTAAATGCTTGTGGCACTAAGAGCATGGTGTTGAAGGAAACGGCTGCCTGCCAGATTACTTGTTGGTTGACGCTAACGAAGTGAGGCCTTTCCACAGTCAATGAAGTTGAGTTGATTTGACTGGCATTCTATGCTCTGTTTTATGACGGTGTACCGTAGAGTGGCAATTTGATCTTCACATGGTTTGTTTTTCTTGAAGCCAGCCTCCCGTTGTCCTATGGGTGATGAATGATTCGTGGTCTAAATAGTTGACTGCTAGATCTTTCATTCATACATTCATTAACAAAAGCTCCGATGCTCGACAACACTGAAGTCTCAATAGTTGCAGATACCTTTAGTAGACATGAAATCTAGATGAATTAGGATTTGATGTCAACTACATCCTAACATATGACACTGTTGGCAGTACATAGTCATATCACAATGAGCATTTTTAAAAGCAAACGACCTTTCGCTATGTCGTTCAACACTCGATATTCACAACGAAAACATCTCCAGATCGGTTATGCACTAATTGAAATATACAACCAGACAATTATAACTCATCGACAAAATTACCAATACTCTCATTTAATTAGACTACTGATAAACATCAAAAGGACATTTTTCGCGTAAAAGGTTCAATTTCATCGGTTTTAATTACTTCATTTCAAGGCTGTTCAAAGAGCAAAATTAAATTTAAGCCCTTCAGTGAAATAGACTTGGCAAAAACAATGCCATCACTGTCACCAACTGAAGCGACCGATTGAATGCAGATATATATAAGTACATATGATTTGATATCTACCCTGTTAAGTTAGAATTCTAAAGTGAGTTATTCAACGAGTCTCAAAAGAAATCCTTCAGCTATTTCTTTTTTCGTGATAAAATAAATCATTGAACTGAAAGCTTCTTTTTCAGAAACTAGCTTAATAATCAAGGTTAGTAATGAGATAATGTCAGGGGGCATAGCAACCTCCAATAAACATCTAACACCAGATAGAAGTGCACTACTGTGTCAAAATTGTCATACGGCAGAACAACTGGATACAACTGGTTCAGTACATTTGAGGCTAAAGGACATGAAAAAGTTGACCTTCTGTTGAACAATTCGCTGAATGAATACAGTTCTGCATGAAATGAATCACCACCCGACTAGATTAGCAGATATTTCTTCGACTGCAGCACAAGAATACTTAATGTTGCGTTTACACGTTTCGGTACACTGCTCAAAAGCGTGAAATTCAGGCGTACAGTCTGCTGGTGATTGCGTCTAGACATGTGCTATGTAACCTATTTGAAAATGATAAAAAAAGTAATCTGACTGTCAAAGTTTAACTCAGTCATTAATGTCTAGTAGGTCAGACCTTGTAGTTAATTCGTACAATATCAGGTTGTTTTTGAAATATTCCCAACCCATGAAATTGAACTGATATGATACATTAGAATGATTTTCATTGTAACAATTGTATAGAGGTATAAATAAGTTTATTTTAGCGGTAAGCTTCAATCATCAAGTATTTAAGCGCTTTTGATAGTACGAAAATTGATCAGTGGGTTCTAGTTAGTGTAAATGTCAATTAAAAAACCATTTGGGTTAACAAAGAGTCTTTTCTGCAGGTTTTACAGTTATATTTACATATTGAGGAATTATACATCAATAATATTGTGGTAAAGACTAATACCAGGCCCATATTAGCACAGTTGGTTGGAATGAACCACAAGATGGAAATGAATAAATCACTTTCCATCTTGTACCGAGTTCTCATCAACTTGCCAAAAAAGTACCCATCTGTGAATTCTTCAAACTGAAGAAGAAGTAGCAACTAGGATCAAATAACCTGAGTTGTGTGTTCAATAAAAGTAGATGTTGCTGCTACAACTACCTTGGTACGTTCGTTTAATCTATTTGTCCATCAATATGAGTTATATTCTATCAAACTCCTCAAATTATGTCTCAAGTTACATCAAGTTTGAAGTGCAACCATCCAATAGATTCAGTCCTAGCAAATAACATAGAAATTTCACAGTTTCATTTCGCTTAGATGAGTGACAACATTGTGAACTTGATTAACAGAAATCGGTGTGTTGTGAATACTGAGTAATAGACAGCTATGTCAGTTACCGTTCATACGTATTCCAGTTTCACATGAAGACGGACTTCGTTCAAATAGCTTAGTAGTAGGGTTTTTGAATTCTTCGCTCAGTCACAAGCATTCATTCTTCAAGATATCAGATATGCCTCACTGATATGTATACAAGATTTATGTCACTGGGTATCTAGTGAATGACCCGGACATAGGTGAGCAATTTCAATCGGTAAGCTGGGAAACAACATTGGAATATAAATTTGATTGTAGGAATTATTATCTCATTGTAAATAATTATCTCTAACCTTGATCAGTTGTCCTTCTCGAAATGGTAGTTCTTCTTGTACACCATCAATATTAGGTGACATAGTAGCTGGATCATAGTCGTATAAAGCTACTACAACTCTAATTGGCTTCAATTCAGTTGACATCATTCGAACTGGATACTCACCATTGGTATCTACAATTAAATTAAAAGTTAATAACAAAAACGTGAATCGTTGCATTGATTATAAATGACACCAAACATTGAAATATAAATAATATATGTCAACTGATCGTTACTTATTCAAATAGCGATTTATTCACTATGAGCTGTGAATTTCATGAAGTGTTTATGTGAAGCCATAAAAAAAAAGTCATAAATGAGGATGGATGCTAATCAGCGACATTAGAAAACTGTCCAATTATGTTGCCAATTAATCAAAGTTGAAAAACGCAAGACATTAGGTTTTGATTCAGTCTCCAGTGGTAGTTGAGGGTGTGCACTGCTTGAGAAGCCCATATTACAAAGAAACAGATGTCCAATACTCCAAGGTTTTCTATATCTAACTCATATCACTTCGTAATGAATACCACACTGAAATCAATAGATCACCACAAAACTTCAAACTGAATTACTGTTCAATGTTCAATAATGACATGTTTCTAGATGAAAATTCCTGAAGTTCTAATGAGAAATTATAAACTGTTGTTCAAACCAAGTTGGAAGTGGGGATAAATACTCATTGGTGGCGTTACATGGAGATCGTGCTACACTGTGAATTGACAGAAGTAGGAAAATGTGAACACTACAAAATTCGAAGGTCTTGGATTCGATCTCATGTAGGTTTATGGGTGTGCCACCTTGAAATTAGTCAACCCAATAAACCTCCAAATTGAATTATTTCTTATCACAGAATCTTTTATTCAGACTAGTTAACATTACTTAACCCTATGGGAGAAATTGAATTAATAAACTCAATGGTAAAGTTTCTGATTTTTCTACTGAATTTCCGATAGAAACAGTTAATTTTTATGTTTGCAAAAAAACTTCATCACTGTACACTAGTGACCATGAAACTTCTCTAAGACATGATTTGAAACTGACTGACGCCTGGTACTTAAGCAAAAAAATTTATTTGTACGGTCTGATAATAAGTTATACATTATTGTCGATGTTATTTACAATGGCCTTTATGACCACTCACAATCATTTCTTTTTCCTCAAACTTCTTTAAAGACGTACATTATTGCGAAGCTAGTTCCATACATGAACATGAATGAAATTACTTAAACTACCTGAATATTAAGTATGAGATTGATCAAGATAACTTCATAGAAATACTCAATAGGTTTAATCTAATGTTTGACAGTTTTGAAGGAAATTAGAGTGCAATTTTTGCTCCTGCTCATAATGTAACCTTTGTTATCTGTTCTTTTTAGACGAATGAAAGTTAGCATTCTTTTTCACTCTCAACAGTTTTACATAAAAGTAACTTCATACTTGTATTCATCTTGATGATGGTCAGTAGAATCCCTGACACAAGTTTCTTCCCATTGCTGTTTCGATACTAATAATTGCCCCGTTGCTATGCAGGGTTGTACTTCAGTGACCTGAAGCGATGGATACTGGGTGTGAGTCTCACTAGGGTGTAGATACATTCAGCTGATGGGTCCAAAAAGGGATGAAGCACGCATACGGGATTCCATAGATAGTTACCGAGATGGATACAATATCATGAAGATTTCCAGAAGTATCGTGGCATTCTTATAGGAACCCATCTGATAACAGAGATCCAGTAATTCGAGCGTGTATAGCAGCGGGAAATTACTAGTAAGGAAGAATATTTTATACCTGGTAGTGGCTAGTAATACAATACCTAATACGAAACCTTTCCAATGAAAAGATTTCCTACAATTTGAGACTTTTCATCTGGAAATACTAGCATCCGAGTGGGAAATGATGAGCGAAATAGCATATGTAATATCTGTCCCTAACCTCGCCTAGGTAACAAGCTCACTAGTTACTAGCTGGTCCTAAACCCGGATAAACAGGAAAGGTTGGGCATAGGGCTAGCAACCCTAAACCGGAAAACCAATCCAATCGCTAAACAAACTTCTAAGCACAAACAAAACATAAAAAATAAAAACAAACTTATTCCTCGCTGCAATCAGAGAGATGAAATGAAGCCGGTTGAAGGAAAGGCTTCGGGAAGCCAATTGGCCGATATCTCACCTCTCTGTCGATGAAAGCGAAAGTAAGGATGGGGACATGGAATCTCTGCACAATGTTTGAAGCTAGTTGGCAAAGCTACCCAGATTGCGAAAGAGATGAGAAAGCAGATGGAATGGAAGTGAACTCTCCAAAATGTCAACTGGAGAGGAGTCAATAATCTACCCCGATATTCACACCCACATGGCAACCACCAGAACACCGAGCCATGCAGTCGCTATCATGATGTCTTCAAGAATATCAAAGGCTCTCATACAGTGAGAACCCACCTCCTCATGCAGGATCATAACAGCATCATTCAACTCAAGAGGAAGCAAAGTCACAATCATTCAGTGTCACACTAATCACCTACAAATAATGCATGTGAAGAGAGGAAGGAGGAATTCTATAGACAACTGCAGTCAGTAATCGACAAGACCCCACTCCAGTTGGCGACATCAAAATTCCAGTAGGTGGGGTGACACGAGTGCCAAACTGGAAGCAGACGACACAGGAAGAGAACTCATCATAGGTCGTGATGCACTCAGTGAAATGATGAACGAGAATGGAGAACTGTTTGCAGATTTCTGCGCATTCAACGATTTGGTGATTGTTGGCGAGACAGTGTGTACAAACACAAGGATATTCACAAGGCGAGCGAAGTGGATTTCACTAAACATTAGATCGACTTCATCTCAATGTGAAGAAAGTGGAGACGCAGCCAACTGAACACACGGTCAGATGAAGGAGGGGAGCAGTTGTAGGTTCACACCACTATCTAGTATCTAGTGCAAGCAACCTGTCCTCCAAATCAAGTTGGAAGCCTTCACAGAAGTTGGTGATGATGCACCACAGTTCAAGTTGAATTTGAACACCCAGAACAGAAACTGAACTGAAGGACGAAGTTACAAAAGACATCTACACGTCAACCAGTCATGAAGAAAAAATGGGGCAGAGAGCAACGTCGCCAAAAAAACCGGAGTGGAAGAACACTGGAATGTGGGAGGAGACATTTATAACGATATTACGAGGGAGGAAGAAATAAGATATGGAATGGATCTGGACGGACACATAGAAGCTGGTAGAGGAGAGGAGGATAGTGAATCAGAAGACAAACCAGTGCAAGGATGAACAACGAAAAGAGTGACTGAACGCAACGTATAAAACACTACACTGGACAAGGCAGTGAAGAGGAGTGCGCTTAAAGACAAAATACACTTCTATGACAGACTGGCAAGTGAAGCAGAACAGGCTGCTGGTAGGAGAGACCTGACATAACTGTATCAGATAACGAGGTTAGTATCTGGAAAGAGATCAACTAAGACGAAACCAATGAAAGACAGTGAAGGAAACCTAGTCATCTTCAAAGAGGAGAAACAAAGGAATCGGTGGGCTGACCACTTCGAAAAACTCTTCAATCGACCACCACTACCACCACCTGCAACTCCTCCAGAAATACCACCAGCAACCGCAGAAGTACAAGTGAACACAGAGCCTCAAATGAAAGTCGAAGTCCTGAACACCATAAAGCTGCTGAAATCCAGGAAAGCAGCAGGACCAGAAGGAATTCCTCCAGAAGCACTGGTAACAGACCCAGAGACAACAGCAGCGGACATGCTCACACCACTACTACAGAAGGTTTGGAAGTAAGGAAAGGTACCTGCCTGTTGACTGGAGGAAGAGCTACCTTGTCAAAATCCCAAAAAAGGGAGGCATAAGTCTTTGCAAGAATAAGAACTGCTGAGGAATCATGCCCCACCCCTCTCCACCATATCATCTTAGAGAGACTGAAAGATGCGCAGGATTCAAAATTACGACCGGTTCAAATTGCAACACTATTCATCATCATTGAGCAGAATGTAGAATGGCAGTTAACTATCTACCTCAACTTTATCGACTTTGAAAAGACCTTCAACAGTGTCGACCGGGAAGTAATTTGGCAGCAGGTGCTTCAACACTACACTTTTAGTGTCATAATTCTTTACCAACTTCATTCAACAGCTATATAAAGACGCCACATTCCAAGTGATCCACAACCCTATGAAAAGATCAGTGATGCCTTTGAAGTAAGGACAGGTTGACAAGTAAGACAATGTTACTGCCTACTATCACCCATGATCTTCCTAATTGTGGTCGATTGGACTAGATCATGCAGCGAACCATGAGGAGCGAGAAGACGGGCATACGCTAGACCGATGGAAAGAGCCTAGAAGATTTGGATTTCGCCGATGATAATTTGTATCTGATGCCTTGCGGCACAAACTCGAAGATCTACAGGCGAAAGCTAACAAGTTGACAGAATAGGTAGCAAAGACAAGACTTCGAGTGAGTGTAGAGAAGACGGAGGTGATAAAGATACCCAACCGACAAGAAGAACAACAATAACAGGAAACACCAGTCACCATGAACGGGAGAAACCTAAAGGAAGTTGTCTCTTTCACCTACCTACATATCTACCTAGACAGCATTGTTTCAACTACAGGCGGCGACACAGATGAGGATTTCAAAAGCAGGATCGGAAAGACAGCAAGACAGGCTTTCGTTAATCTGAAATTAGTGTGGAGATCTACTGCACTCAGCACGAATAACAAAATGTGGATTTTCAATACTAAGTCGGTGATGTCAGTGCTTCCATATGGTTCAGAAAGTTGATGCGTTATGAAAAGCATTCCCATCATGTTACAGACATTCATCAACAGTTGCCCACGCTCGTAACTGAAGATCAGATGCATGTTCAGAATAATAAGATCACGCAACGAGGAACTTTAAGAGCGAACCAAACATGAACCCACCGCCCAACAAATATACAGAAGAAGAAAGCTGAGATGGATTAGATATAGACTGAGAAGACCGATTGCTGATATCACGTGCCAGGCCAGACCCTCGAGTGGAATCCGTATGAGAACCGACGAGTTAAGCGTCCGAGGATGACATGGAAGAGATCATGTGAGAAAGAAGTGATAGCGTGTGGGCAGTCATGGAGATAGGTTGGAAAGACTACAGAGAATAGAGTGAAATGGCTACGTGCTACTGAAGTCCTATGTTTCACTAGGAAACCAAGCAATAAATAATAATCAGCATCTGTATCTGTAAACTGCATAATTCCCATTGCCTTCAGATTAGCATTCAGGCCTTTAGTGCAGTTGGAAAATAAATTTATAGATGAACCCTAATCGTTTTAATATAAATTGTAGATTCATGAACTGAATGAATATCAGTAACATGTGGTCATCAGAAGACTGTGATTCTATTAGTGGTGTTTCAAAAATTGTTTTATGATATCTCGAAAAAATGAACAATATGCTTAGACTTTGATAGTATGACAATGATTACAGTTTCGATGTGGTCAAAAATGCTTGATTTGTGCGGAAAGTAAAATATTATGAGAAGGCTACACCTAAAAAGTCATTCTTACATCTTTGATTCATGTTATATTGCTGTTCATCTTGTGTAACTAACTTCCCAGATCGTGGATACTGAGATGATGACTGTTGTTGTTGTTGTTGATGCTGGAGCTGGTGCTGATGTTGAAAGACAGCTGCTTGCCTTGGACTGCCTGATTTAGTTGCCAAAGAATCAAATCCTGGTTCATTTATTCGATAACTTTTCAAATTTCCTTGATTGAATGGGGGTCTGTTATCATGTTGAGATTTGGGATTTGTGACTGGTGATGGCATATTATGATACATAGATCTTTTTGGTCCAGGTGTCAATGATTCAACTGGCACTGGGTGACGGGTAAATGCTGGATCATGATGCTGTATTGTAGAGAAACCTGTTTGACTAATTTGAGGATCATATGAACCATGTCGTCTAGTATCCATAAAACGTGATCGGATAGGTCTAGTGGGTCCATGAATATTTTGATAAGAACTTTGTGACTGTTGATGATGATGGGGATCAGGTATTTGGAACTGTGGTTCATTATCTGAGAAACTGCTATTCCGTGTAATCTCTGAATAAAAGAAGAAAGTAGATATGTTAAAGTTAATTTTTACATGGTTTTTGGAGAATGACATAAACATATTAATGCACGTAGAATATAAATCTGACAAATTTTTTTAGGAAAATTTCCCTAATTATTCGATTTACCAAAGGAAAAATGGTTTACGTAGTTGGTAATAAGGCATTCATATTCACTGTATAGAAGTGAATCTACACCATGAGGTGTTAATTGGGCTAGAGGGATTTGACAGGAATTCATGGACTTGTAAGCAAGAAGTGAGGAGTCATGTCTGCTCTAAGATTCGAACCCACGTCACCTAGTGCCGTAATCATTGGCGTTAATACTCGACCATTCGGTACACAAGGACTTCCTATCAATTGCCTCAAAACCAAATAATATATATCAGAGTGCATCACGATAGTGAGACTCCTAGCTTTCTGATCGTATTGAGTAATGATAATTAAAACTCAGCCAACAATCACGACTCACCAAAATGAGAAACATATTGCTCTCCAGTAACCAATTAATATAGTTTGAATTAGGTTGGAACTAGTGATTTCAATAAATTAAATAACCAATGAGAACATGTAAAGTATGTTTATTCTGTTTTCAACTAATCTTTTTATTCACAGATTTAAATAGCTGGACAAAAATAGTTCCACAAATTTATAAATATGAACTGTTAGATAAATTAAAACAAGATATTACAAAATGAAGTAAGACTTCCATATTAGATTTGTTTATTGGAATTTATAACACAGTGTCATATAGTATTATTCACTTGATGACCATGTTGCGAGCATAAATTATCATTGCTCATAATCATATCAATGTAATCATACTACTCTAAACATTCATTTTCAATAGTCCCATCACCTCTTATTCTTTGTTTCTATTAGTCAATCAGTCTCTGGTATAAGTGTTGCATCATTCCTGTTACATGTGTTTGATGAACAAAGATTCAGTAATCAATCTCTCTCAATCTTCACCTAATTATATTCCACTTGAGTACACCAGCTTTATCCCACCCACCGTATTGTGTGGTTGTATGTTAATGAATACATTGTAATAGACGAGTCCTATTTTATAAATTATTCATCTTATTCGGCTCTATCATTCTACATTTAGCCTAATTCCTATGTCTCACCAAACTAACTGATACCGATCGGCTGACTGCTTTGACCTATGTACTTGATCTAACTCACAGGCATTGCATGGAATTTGATAGATTAGATTATTTTGCTTAATTGGTTCTGTCTGATCGTTAAGCCACCCAGCAAAGCTTATCTCTGAGTGAGTTTATAGGTTTAAATGTCACCTTAATTCCAGTTTTGTTCAGGATCCTACATGGAGTTTCTGATGTTTTGTCCTCACATAATGGAGGTTGTGAACTCCTTTCCACTTGTGTTGTTGTTGTTGTTGTTCGTACTCGTGTTACTGTTATTATTTCGTTTCTTGTGTTTTCGTGTGAAAGACAGACGGTGGTTTGGATACTACAGTCTGTAGATCAATGATCTATAAAAAGGACTCGGTTATTACAATGCATGCATTAACACACAACCACACAATACGGTGGGTGGTATAAAACCACTGTGCTTAAGTCGAATATAATTAGGTGTAGATTGAGAGAGATTGATTACTGAATCTTTGTTCATCGAATCAACACTCAGTCATAACATGTAGTAGAAATGACACAACAGCTATACAAGAGATATGGAAAACTTTTGCTTTCGATATTTCTTTAACATTTAAGGCGATATGTACTGGGTTTTAATTTTAGTGGATTGCTTAGCTAGCCGCTACCAACCATCACTATTAAAGCCTCATACAAGTTCCATTAATTTCATGAAAATAGGCTTCTTAGTTAAAAGTAGCAGATTTAAAGATTTAGTAGAGATTTAAACACTGAGAATGTCATCCCTCAGAAATGAAGTCAACTGAAGTCTAAGCCTCTTAAAAAAGGACCGAGACAGAACTGGAGAATTAAAATGAGTAATCTCCATATTCAAAGTGAATAATTATACGTATTACTTCATACAATATTGCAAGTGAAATTTTAAATTCTTATTACCTACGACTAGAAATCACAGGAAGAACAATAATCATAATCGTCATTTATACATCGAATCTACTCAGCAATTTCAAACAGTTTCAGAGTTCAGTCAACCTTAATGCTTATATCACAGTTATATACCTACAAAAGTATTCTATAAGGTAACCAATAAGATCCTAGGATCACTCATAGTATCTGAAAACAAAGACAAACCAATGGAAATATCCTGAAGCATGTTAACATGTACTTTATTGGACACCGGCTTGCCAAGCTTACGTAACCAGACATGTTTAACTCATCGCATTATGAGAAGTTTAAACATGAAATAAGGGAAACAGAAGGCAGTTGAAAAAAAGTATAGTGGAAAGAACACCATATGAAGAGCTACGCAGACATTCTAGTCAGCACACTTATCAATCTAGCCTTCAACGATGTGTGAATGATTGATCTTAAACCACTGTGAGATAATCGCCAAGTTCCTTACAACTTGTCATACAGTTTAAGTTTTATCATCATCATCCATCAACAAAGGACCAGGATTACTACGTAACGGTATCACTTGTCACAACTCATATTAGTACATCAAGTAAAAAGGCAGTGAAGTAAAAGATGAAGAAAAGAAAACTCAGTCAAAAGAAATATAAAGTACTAGGAGAGAGAAAGGAAGAATGAGAACATGGTGAGATTGGGCATAGTGTTAAAATGAGCATAATATATGTGTATTCATCTGCGCCACTGAATTCGGTTCCGAGCCATATCACCTAGAGTCAGTCTTCAACCACTAGTTTCTCTTGTCCCAAAGATCCCAACCAGCCAGTCTGCATCGCCTCACATGGCTTAAACCAGCAGTCCAACACTTCATACATAGATGCCATGTTTTAGTCTGGCCGCCTCGAGTCTTTTTCCAGCCTGAACCTACTTCGGCCAACATTATGTGAAGAGACAATTGGAAACTAGGCATACGTAACATATATCCCGTCCATCTCAGTTGATGAAAGTTCACAACCGTGTCGAATGCATTGCCTCTACTCCCTAAAACTTTACACTTGACTTCTAGGTTACTCACGTGCTGACACCACGAAAGGCCGCCTATACTACAAAGGCGACGGTAGTCAAACACCTGAAGCCTTCTCATGTCTTCACCTTCAATGGCCACGTTTCACAGCCATATAGTAGAAGAGAGCGAACTATTGTGCAGGTGTATTCGACACGAGGTTTAATAGACAATCGTATATCACGGCAGCGCCAAACGGTTTGATTTTGATGAAAGGCAACAGCTTAGTATGGTAGAAACATCGATAACACTATACATCACAAATAAAATCAAACACTTGTGATAGAGTAAATAAACCACGAATAACCTACAGGTAGGTAAGTGTTACAGGGAATAAAGGTTGAACTGTTTTATTCAGCACACACTTTAAGAAACGCCAAAACACTGAAACCTAGACTGTCAACAACAGTGTTTTAGGTAATGTGTAAAGTTTATGAAGATATAAAATGCTTGATAGCATGACTTGACATTGTCAAAAAAAAACGATTCCCTAGTTTGAACTTATAAATAAGTTTTTCCTATTTTCATTAGGAAAGTCGTTATTGGTTTCTCCCTATTTTGATTAATCTTTTTCTTGAGTTACCTGGTGGTCTTTCTTTTCTGCAGACTTGAAACACCCAACACCAGAATAGAGTGCACCTAAGGATTGTGTTCTTTAATGAACAAATAACGAATGTCATAAATGACTTGTGATAAGTGTTCAGCAGAAAGAACCAAGCACATACAACGAAGATCCACCGGCAACTAATTCCTTAAAATAGATTATTCCATCACTCCTGGCATATAAATCTGTAGCAATAGCTGAATTCATTCAGAAGCAAAAGAAACAAGGTCAGAAACAACGGCTGACACGTTCAAAACGTTATTCTAAAAGATTTGGAAGGATGCAAAGATAGGTACCTGCCGTATGGAAGAAGCGCCACTTCATCAAACTCCCAAAATAGGGAGACCTCAGTCTTTACTAGAACTGGCAATAAAATCATGCTCCAACCCTGTCCACATCTAACTAAATAGTGAGCAACATCATCCTGGAGAGACTTAACAATGCTCTGAATTCAAAATTACGCCTAGAACAGGCTGGCTGGCTGGCTGACTTCAAGAGGATCGAATCATGTGAGGATCAGATTGCAACGCTACCATACGCACCATCATCATCATCATCATAGAACAGAGCACAGAATGCCAGTCAAATCAACTCAGCTAAACCTCAAACTCAATCTCAACTTCATCGACTTCGGAAAGACCTCGCTTCCATAGCATCAACCAACACGTAATTTGGCAGGCAGCTGCTTGCTTCAACACTACGCTTTCACTGCCACACACATCTATCATCCTCATTCAACACCAGCCATATGCTATACGAGGATGCTAAATGCCGAGTGATTCACAACACAATGGAAAGCTCAGTGATGTCTTTCAAGTGAAGACAGGTTGACAGGTGAGACAGTCTTGCTGCCTACCATCACCAATAATCTTCCTGATTGTGGTGAACTGGATCATGCAGCAAACCGTGAGGAGTGAGAAGATAGGCACACGTTGTTTGACTGATGAGAAAGAAGACGATTGAAGAAGATTTGGATTTCAGCACCGATGATGATTTATGTCTTATGTCTTGTAGTACAAGCTCGAAGATGTACAGGCGAAAGCTAACAAGTTGGTAGGAGAGGTGAGGCAGGGTAGGGCAGGGTAGGGCAGGACAGGACAGGGTAGTGAAGGAAGGTGGGACCTCACTCGGGTGAACGTGGAGAAGACACAGGTTATTGGAGATACCCAACCAACAACAAGAACATCAATAACGGGAAGCACCAATCATCATGAATGGGAGAAATCTGCAGGGAGTTGTCTCTTTCACCAACCACCCTACCAACCTACACCTAGACAGCGTCGTCTCAACCACAGACG